ACGCCCATCTCCAGGCGTAGCGCATCCCTCGGGAGCCAGCAGAATTGGGCAACGCAAGAGTGTCGTGACAATCCTCGAAGCGTAAATGCTCGCAGGCATAGAGGCGGGGGTGAGGCCTACACTAAGTGCACGAGCCCGAAGACGAAACTTGGTGATCGGGTCTCTCCAGAGCCTTTCAGGATCAACAGCGGGACCAAGCCAGACACCCAAGTACAGGAGGGACTCAACGATCTCGAACGAGGCCCAGCCAGGGACGGCACGTAAAATACAATCCCGCAGACTCTTCAGAGTGTCACTAAAGGTCTCAGATAATGGCACCAAGTTGCACTTCTGCGTCTTAAGTGCTAGGTTCGCAAAGCGGTCAGCCCTAATCATCACCTCGCGAATGTCCTTAAGAGATTAGGCACCACGAAGCGCCCCACCAATATCACCAGCACAGGCAAGAATAACCCCAGACCCTCGAGCGTCGATCCGAGCAGCCAAGCCGACGAGGAAGGGCGAGGAGGCGAGCGCGTAGAGCGAGCCCGATAGTGCACACCCTTGGAGAATCCCACTTCGGACCCAATAGAGATGCGAGTTTTGCCCCGCCACCGCAGAGATACCCTCGATAGCTGAGTATAGGAACGAGACGAAGACCAGGGACGCGGGCGGCAGCTGGAGAGAGGTGAGGACGAGCATCAGGTAGTCCTGGTTCAGGGAGGGGAAGGCCTGGCCGAAGTCCAGGGAGAAGAGAAGGGATGTCCTGGGACTCGGAGCGCAGGAGGGGGAATTTCCTGCTGGCGCGCCCAGCTCCAATACATTCAGGCCAACGTTCCGTTTGGAAACGAAACCCCGCTGGCAAGCAGGACCAACGCGATCAAGAACAGGTCGTAGAGATAGATTCATAGTGGCAGAAAGCATCTTGACATCACCGTTCCGAAGTCCTAGAACACGAACTTTGTCGGGGGAACGCGCACACGAGCCACTCTGCAGCTTGTCGTCATCGATGATTTCCGGGGGGGTCGCTTGCACGGTCGCACTTTCAGCACCAAACAGGAACTGGCCCGAAGAGACCCACTCGAGGCATGCCCAGAAGACCTCAAGACCAGAAGGGCCGACCTACCAGGCCGCATAAGGGGGGGGGGGCCATCCTCACCAGTAGCCCAGTGTCGAGCGCGAGCGAGGACCGACTTCATCGTCTTGAACGAGGGGGGCGGGAGGACAAGGTCACCGACGGAAGGGAACAACTCACGGGTGCAGGGTGTCGCCGCATTCTCTCCCCAAGTCTTTTTCGAGAAAACAGGTGCCCAAAACTCACGGAGACACGTGAGCCTCTCCTTGGGTGTAGATGCGGGTGAGCAATCCGCAACCGTGACAGCGGCGAGCGAGACCCGACGGTGGAGAGGAGAGACGTTCCCGGGTGGGCCCCAATACGGGGGGGTGAAGTCGTTGTTGTTTCCGCCACATCTGTGCATGTAGCCGATGGCGGATACAATGCTGCACCGTATGATCGTGTAGATGGCCAGTCCTACCGCATTCAATATTGCAGCGCGCTGCTCAAGCGCATGTCTGCGCCAAGCAACCACGTCGGTGGATTCGGTCAATCGACGTGGCTGAAGGTTCAGCACGCTTCCGCGCGGCGTCATACCACGCTCATGCATCAATGGATTGCCAAACTCTTGTTTCGAAAGGTAAGCAGGCCTGATTGGTTTGAAACACTTGACCGCTGGGAAGATGTTGAACCATTCGGATTGAACTGTTTCACCCGTGAAAATATGTAAATGATCTCGGGTCGACTCTGTTGTGCTAGGTCTGTCTGCAAGCTCAAATAGATCCACGGAATCGCGGATAGAGTGTGGGCTCATAGTTGGGAGCATCAGCAAGTCCGACAGGAGCGTGCAATAAAGTAATAGTAAGTAAAAAAACACATATGGGAGCCAACAAGACGAGAGCGCGGCCAGCTCCGATACAAGGTCGAAAACAATGCTGTCGCTTCGTATCGTAGCACTGCTTCCTCGTGTACTATGAGTATGAAGGAGAATGCAAAAGGTGAGAATCAGGATGATCACTCCCTTCCCAACTATAGTGGGCTCGCGTGCCTGAGCCAAACGGCAGAGGAGCGCGCCGATGCCCCCCCGAGGACTTCCCTTCAAAGTGATACGCATGGCAATCTTGCGCGCGAGACCCCCTAGCCCTCGCTGGAGGACTGCAACCTGTCGTTGCGGGGCCATGCGCGCACGTGTTCAAACCAACCATGGATTAACCTCAAAAACGAATCTCTGAAACGGCAAGTTCCCGGCTGGGTTCCTGCAAGGGAGCTGCGCTGTTGTTGATACCTCCATTACGGTGCAAATACCTTATAACGGATCCAATGCACCGCCATATGATAACATAGATCCGCTACCGTGCCGCTGGGCGCAGGGTTGGTGTGTCCTCAAGTCCTTCGCCCAATCCCCGAAGCCTCAACACTCGACCCTAAAGGGTTCTTAAGGGGCCTGGACCCCGAAGTCACTCATGTCATTGGCCTTGGCGCGTGCCCCCTGGGGTTCCTGGAGGCTTGTCGGGTGACTTGCTCGGGCCCAAGAGGGCCCCAACACGGGCCAAGAGGGCCCCAAGAGGCCCCGAAGAGAGTCCAAGAGGACCCCGAATCGCCGAACGGTAAGGCGCTCTAGATGGCCCCACAGAGGGTCCAAGAGACTTCCAAGAGGCCTCCTGCTTCAAGAGTCCAAAATCACTGATAGCCCTTGAATGTTCGAATGTTTGACGTTCTCGCCCGTTCTGCTTCCCAACGTTCCCAGACGGCCCTAGAGGCCCCCAAGATCGCCCCAAAACGGCCCACTGGGCCTCCAAGAGGGCCCCCAAGAGGCCCCAAAGACGGTTCCAAGAGCGGGCCCAGATGGGGGAGCCGAATGGGCACTTCGAGCACTCGGCCCCGAGAGGCCCGAGGAGGCCCCAAGAGGCCCTAAGAGGCTCCCAAGAAGCCCAAAACTGCCCCCTAAAAGGCCCCCGAGAGCGCCGCGAAGAGATCACAAGAGACATCCCGGAGGACTCTGACCCACAACCCAGGCACGGTGACAGGATGGGCCGAAGGCCATTAGATAACCAGCCCCACAAGCTTCAGCCGTGAGTTGTTTTGCTCAGGCACATGTCCGCGCGCGATGTCTGTCGCTGTGGGTGTGGTTAGGCGTCGTGGTTGGAGGCTGAGCACGTTTCCGTGCGGCATGCTTCCATGCGTGACTAGATGGGAGTTGTCAAAGTCTTTGTTCGGAAGATATACAGGCCTGATACGTTTGACATACTTCATCACGGTGGACGTATGTTGCACCTCAGGCGTTGGCTCTGTAAGTTCGGGGTTGTTCCCAAGCTCCTTTCGATAAGGACTGAAGAATCCAAGGGGTCGCGGATGGAGTGTGGGCTCAGAGTCGTGAGTGACAGCGGCCACGTGGATCGTGCCAAGGAGTAGCAGAATACGACCAACAAGGTCAGCCAACTACGCGAAAATGTTGCCAGCTCCGCTACCAAGTCGAAAGAAACGCGGTAAGGTCACATGACACATTGCCCCTTGTATACTGGTAGTACGAAATCGAGTTGCAATGAGTGAGGATCCGGATACTATGTTTCAGCAAGTGTGCTGCTGGTCATATGGGACGCGCACACCTTCGGTCAATGGAAACACGGGACGCGCTGTGTGTACCTACAGGCGTCTCCTATGAAAGTCACGACGATGCTGTAGTACACCATCCCGTCCCGAGCCCCCTTCATAATACTGAAGTCCCACAATGCATTCACAATCACTACGGGTAAGCTCCCTTTGAAAGGCAAGTGCCCCGTGCACCTACCACTCAAGCGAGAGACCCGTTTTGAATAGACCGAGCTGTGCGAAATATCACGAGGCAGAACCATAGAGACCGAGGAGATACCCAGCGAGAGCCAAGCGTTGGCACAAGAAACGTCACTGCCTTAGTGTTGACCACCAAGCTCGCACCCATTGTCATTTTGAATGGAAGCTCAACCGATGGTACGGTGTTGAAAAGGAGCCACCCTCCGCCCGTGTGAGATCGCAACCGCCTTCCACGTTTGGAGGCCCGATGGAGTCTTGAGCGAAAGCCCCATTTCAAGAGGAAGCCGCGCTCCGTCCTTGCTTCTGTTGGAATAATCCCACCAGCCCTTTCGGCGAAGCTGGTTTTGCGAGTTCTTGCGTTCCTCTGACACGCACCCCGTCAGGGACGGGCATCCTACCCCTCCCCCTCTCTGAGATTTGTTGGGGGGGGTCCGCGAGGTGCCAGCACGCCCAAGGTCGCCCAAGATGGCGTCCGATGCTCCAAGATGGCCTCCAAGATGGCTCGAGATAGCGGACGATGGTTCAAAATAGCTCCGGCATACCTCCAAGAGGCCCTACGAGGGCCAAAAAACGGTTCCAAGTGCTCTCGGAGCCCCATCAGGACCCCCCCCCAACAGGCAATAACTCTTCAAACACCTAAGGAAAATCAATGTGGTTTGCCTTCTCGCCTGTTCGATTCCGATGCGCTCTTCGGGCCTCAAGATGGCCGACGAGAAGTCCAAGAAGCGCTCAAGAGGCCACCCTGACGGCCCTAAGAGCGCCCACCGCCCCAAGAAGGCCCCAAGAGGCGATGCTGATGGCCCCGTTGATGGCGCCAGGGGGAAGGGGGGGGCGGAATCGGGGATCCTCCCTCCTTTAATCGCCGCCCCACAAGACTGCCCAAGAAGCCTGACAGGGCTCCTAAAAGGTCCCCAAGAGAGCCCAAGAGGGCCACAAGAAGGCCCCATGACAGCCCCAAGACAGCCCCAAGACAGCCCCAGGAGCATCCAAAAACGCCCCCAAAAGCGTCCCACGAGGGCCGTAAGAGGCGGTTTGCCTGGTAGCACTGGCAGCACTGGAAAGCGCGGCCGTGCGAGCACAGCAAACGCGCGCATGAACAGGATGTGACCCAGCCCCGAAAACTTGACCCCCAGTTAAACCTCCTCCTCCTCCTTCTCCTCCTACTCCCCACGGGAGCTTCCTCCGTCTGGCCGTCGTACGTGACCCCGGCCGACTTGCCCGCCAGCGCCGCATCCAACGGCCATAGAGGCCCAGTCAGGGCCTGGCGGGCGTCCTCGCGGGCGCGGCCGCCGGCAATCGGCTGTGTCCAACGGCCATAGAGGCCCAGTCAGGGCCTGGCGGGCGTCCTCGCACCGGCCGCCTCCAATCGGCTGTGTGTGGCGAGCCCCCAGCCGCGCCCGGAAGATGACAACCTCGAGGATTAGGGGCATCTCTCTCTCTCTCTCTCTCTCTCTCTCTCTCTCTCTCTTTTTCTCTCTCTTTCTTTCTCTCTCTCTCTCTCTCTCTCTCTCTCTCTCTCTCGACCACCCAAGAATCCCATAACATTACTGCCATCATCGAGAACAGGATCATCTTCCATCGTTGGAGGCAATAGCAAATACTCTTCTTGGTGCCAACCTCTATCCCTCCAGGAGGAGTGGGAGGTGGGGGAGGAGGGAGGTGGGGGAGGGGGTGGGGGAGGGGGGAGGGGGTGGGGGAGGGGGGAGGTGGGGTGGTGGTGGAACTCTGCGTCTTGTCAGTGCCGACGTGCAGTAGCCCTTATAATGGGCTGGCTCGGACCTGGCAAGTGGCCAGGTGGAGGGTGTGGGGGGCCCGAAACCTTGTCAGGCCCTTCCGAGGAATTGTTCGGCCCAGGCCGATCCGCTCCTTGGCTGGTCAGCCCGAGCCTCGCAGAGGCTCTCCTGCACGGGGCAGCCTTCTGGGGCTCCCCACGCGATTCGCAGGTCGAGGCCCCTAGAGGCCCACGGCCTACGGCGTTCTTGCCGTATCCGCTGGGCCCTGGCCTTATTCTCGGCTATCCTGCGCCGCTGGGTGTCGGACAGAGGGGGACGGGAGGGGAGAGGAGGAGGCGGAGGCGGAGTCGGGGGACAGAGGAGGGGAGAGAGTCCGATCACCTCAGCAGCGTAGGCCTCCTCCTCAGTGGGGTCCTGGCGGTCCTCAGGATCCTGGGAGGGGCCTGGGGGGTCCTGGCCAGGCGGACCAGGGGCCTCAAAGCGGCCCCTCTCAGGGTCGGGCCTGCTGCGGCCCTTACCCCTCGCAAAATCCGGGGCCCACTCCCTGGCCCCTTCCTCCGTCGCGGGGATCTCTGAGACATAAAAGTCCGCCAGGCCCTGCACAAGGAGGTGGTGAGACTGGGAGTCATCACTAGGCGCATCCGGGAGCGCGACGTCCAGATCCGATTCGAGCGTCTCCAGAATGCTCTCCGCGATGCAGCGGCAGAAGCCCGGGGGGTAGACCTTCTTCCGCGCGGTCCGGAAGGCCCTGGATCCTACCTCGCGTCCTAGCAGAGTGGCGTGGGCCTCTCGCCCGTGGGAGCATTTGCCTTCCCCAGGCGTCGCGGTCAGGCGACGATGGAGCCCCGCCATGCGGAGCCCGAACAGCCTGGTCGGGGCCCTGCTCAGCTGGCCATGCTCGCACTGGTCGAAATCCGTGGTCGTGGTGCACGGCGCCGACTGCAGCGCAAGCCACGGCTCCCATGTCCACGACGTAACGGCTGCGAGCCGCCAGCTGCACGGGACAGGGTGTTCAGACCACCCTGCCGTGCCTGCCACCAGGTGCGCCGCGAGGAGGAGCACCATGGACTGCATCAGGGCGTTCCCCACGGCCAGCTGGACCCTCTGCTGCGGCGAGGCGTGTGCCACTCCCCAGAACTGGTCATGGGACCTGAGCGGCGGTGGGCCCGGGTGCTCCGACCACCTCGCCGCGCTCCACGTCTCGCATGGCGGTCCTCCTCCTGACATCACGATCTGCCTCTTAAGGATCCCTTCTTGGAAGACCATCAGGCTGTCCTGGCGCATGAGGTCACAGCGCTGCGCGTCGATCGCCACGTCGACGCTGAGGACCATGATGTGCACCTTCTCAGACATCACTTCGAACTTCGGCGCTGACTCGAAAACGTGCTGAATGTCACCCTTGCGCCTGTGCCCACAGAATAGGTTGAGGACGTATATCTCTGCCCTCTGGATCCTCCACGGGATCTTCTCCTCCGTGGTGATCCCGCTGTACTTGTCTGTGCGGAGCTGGTTCAGGTCATATCTTTCTTCATGTTGGAGCCCTGGTCTCTCCTGCGGCCGTTCCTCCGAGCCCTCCTGCAGCGTAGACCTAGCTACTTCGTCGAGCACGTAGTCTGACTCGAGCAGGACCGCCTTTGCATCGTCATGGCTGAGGGACACCACGTCTGGCATGGGCCCAGCTGCTTTGACTGCTGGTATGTTTACTCTCTTCCTTCGTAAACCTCGCGGGAGCTCCTTGCGCGTCGCATACTCCTCGGCACCAAGCGCCTCTCCCGCATCAATGGTGGCGACGAGGCAGGCGGGCGAAGCAATCGCCAGGTGCTCGGTGAGATGGTGGGTCTGGTCGAACAGCGTCAGGCACCCCTGGCACTGCGTTGCTGTTCCCGCCCAGGTACGCGCGAGGCTGACCATTGTCCAGTGCTGCTGCGAAATGTGGACTCTGAGCCCTCTTTGGCGCCTGAACGCCCTCTGGCACCACGGGCATATCCGCTGCCTCGACGATGTTGCGTCTGACTCGACTGCTTGCGGGGGCCCGAAAGGGCTGCCTTCTCTCGTGGAATACGGCACTCCCGCTGGCTGTACTGTGGCAAAGAAACGCCTCTCTGCCATTCTTGCCGCATGTCCTCTGCTCAGCTGCGCCGCCGCTGCCTTGAGCGTGTCATTGAGCCTGTACTTCCATGAGGAATGCGAGCGTAGAATCATCGTCTCCCACGGCCTCAGCTCTTCGTAGGGGTCTGGGAGGTCCTGCAGGTCCGCCGAGTAGCCTTGCAGCCATCGGAGGTCTCCCATCAGCATCTGCGGCCAGGATTGCCTCTTGACGTGCTGGGGCCTCAGGAGGAGTTGGGCCATCGTCGCAAAGGCGAGGGGCGGTCCTGCTTGCAGTAGCTCGCCGAAGAGCCTTAGCCTCGCTACTCTGAGCAGGTCCTCCGGGCGCGCCCTCCCCACCTTGGCGAGCAGCGCCTCGTCCTCTGCCTCCGGGTAGGCGTCGATGTCCAGCTCGCCGTCCTCTTTCGTGGCGAACTTTTTACCTGCCGCTGCTCTGTAGACTGCCATGACCATGGCGCGGTAGTACTTGGCCTCTGCCCTCGTGAGACCTGGCCAGCTGCCCTGCGAGAAGCACCTTGACGAGCAGACTAGGGCGTCTGCGAAAGCCATCTTGGCGGGCAGGTCCAGCTGGTGGTTGCGGAAGACCTTTTCCCTCAGCTTCCTGAGAGCGGCTGCGGTGGTGGCTGAACGGCGGTAGAGCTCGGGGTACACTGCGCCGTGGTCGTCGATGACCGCCCCCAGCGCCACGTGGTTGTGCACTGCGTGGATGGTGGCCCCCTCGTAGTGCTTCGACCTGAGCTTGACCCTTCCGTGGCACTCATGCCAAAGGGTTCTCCTCGCACCCTTGGCCCCTTGCCCTGCAAAGGCAAAGAGCACCTCCGACTTGCCAGGGCCCAGGTTGAGGACGAGACCGAACTCCGCGAACGTGTCCAGCACAATGCCTGCAATGGTTGCCACCGCCTCCATCGCCTCGTCGGCCTTGCCAATGAAGAAGAACGTGCCGTCATCCGCGAATGCCACGCTGTGGCCTGGTATCTTCTCGAAGTCGAGGTCGCCATCGAACTGCTGCGCCAGGGGCCGTACGTTGGCCCCCGTGACGAAGATGCCGTATCCCTCCTCCTCGATCCTCGCCTCCGATACCCTGATGGCCTCTGCCATGGCGATCTCGTAGATCTGGTCGGCCAGAGGTTGGCCTGGGATCGAGGATTTGGTGCCAAGGGCGACGTGGTCCGAGCTCTCGCAGACGAACCATGATGCCGTGTACTGCTCTTCGACCAATGCCTTCAGATGCTCGCCGGCCTCCGCGCGGTGAAGCAGCGGCATCTCCTCCTCGAGCTTCTTCTTCAGGATCTCCAGGGCCGTAGGCGGGACGGCCGTAGACTCGGCGATCGCGTCCTTGTCTGTCTTGGCCATGGGCGTGCGCAGCACGAGCTCCCTGACCATGGAGTAGAAGGCGCTCTTGACGTCCATGAAGATGGCCGCGAAGGACAGCATGTTTGCGGTCGCCGCTGACTGCAGCATCCTGGTGACCACCGACGCGTGCTGTGTTCCTCTGCGCCTTACTCCTCCAAATTGGCGGTCACCTACTGCCTGCGGTAGGTATTCAGCCACCTTCGCCCTGTAGAAGTGCCTCACTCTTTCGCCCACCATGGCCGTGACCGCGAAGCACCTGTGGTTGCCACACTCCTCGGCCTGCTTCTTCTTGTGGTGGTGTCTGTAGAATCCTCCTTTCCACTGTACTGGCTCCACTCCTGTGCAGGCAAACTTGGCTGCCAGTGGGTGGTATGCTGCCGCCAGTGTCTTCGGCTGTGTCCGAAAGAGCTTCCCCATCAAGCCGTCGACTCCTGGCGCTGAGTCCTTAGTGATCTTCATGGCGCGTTCCATGTCTGCCAACGTCGGAATGCAGCTGGGGTCGAGTACTTCAGGCATCAGGGCTCCCTTCTCGAATTGCGCCTGAATGAGCCTGTGGAGATCGACGATCGGCACGTTGGCTACGAACTCGACTAGGCTGAAATGCTGGAGCCACCTGTTCCCCATCTGCGCCTGGGACGTGGCATACGCGCCGTCGAGGAGCTTGACCGACGGGAGGCACTTGCTCATCATGCGCTTCTGAGAGCCGATGCCCATTCCCCTCAGCCTTGCGAACGCTACATCCGTTTGCCTCTTGTCCCATGCGCCCCGTATGTCACCTGCAATGCGGTGGTAATGATCACGGGCGTCTTGGCGGTGCGACGCCAGGATGTCTGCTCCCACCAGCTTCCAGCACCACTGGCTCAGGGCCTCTGTCTTGGTCTGGATAATGGTCGCCATCCAGTAGAGGGACGGCAGCATGGTCTCCCAGTCGCCCCTCGCCTCCTCTATGGCCCTGATGAGCGTCTGGGACGGGCTGATCGCTAGGCGCTCGTGGAACAGGTGCCCGCCGGGCCTCTGTAGCTTAGGCTGCAGGCTGAACGTGCCTCTCTTGTTGAGCCTTCGTTCCGGCAACGTGGCGACG